TCACAGAAAAGAATTCACTCTAATAATTTTTGTATCTAATGACGTTTTTAATCATAGAGAAAGTCTAGATAAACAAGTCAATATAAAATTCTAGTTGATCAATTTATTTGGTTAAGATTTAAGTCATAAAAATTTCTATTCATAATCTAACTATAATAATTCTGTTCTTTTGGTAAATATTGAGATTACTGATTCTATGAATAGCTTTCTTTTGTATTCTCAGTTAATTAATGTACCTTTCTACCATCACCAAAATCCGTATTGTTAGACGCTTTCATATATATTGTTATTAAAGACTCTTATAGTTTATATATATATGTCATGAAATACAAAGCTCAGATTAGAAAAAAAAAATCTGAGGTTATTGAAACAATAAAAGCTAGTAAGATATCATGTAGAAGCTGTATGGCATTGTGCTCAAGGTTGAACACCGGACGGAAACTCAGCTACCGGTATCTTTCTTAAATAGCTTTTTAACTTAGGAAATAAGACATGAATGTTCCATACGTATATCTCGTTAAAGATCATTGACATAAATAGAAGCTTCTGTTTCTCATACAATCGACATGGAATATCAATAATCTTTAACAGAAAGATAATTCAGTTCATCAAAAATATGGCATTATTCTTAGACGAGATCAGTTAATTTCTTGTTATTTTATACCTTAATTGAATGATCACGAATCAATTTCGATTTCAACACTTTCATTGCATTAATTACACTTTTTATATCAACATATTGAATAAAAGCAAATGTTTGTAGATGCCTAGATTGTTGCTGTTGTCGTTTTATTTCAATATCCTAAAAAAACAAAAAAAAAGATTTTCATCATCAGTATCAAATTCTTATTTATTATATATCTACAATAATATCTCCATACGTTGAATATATTTCACGTAATTCATTCGAAGATATGTCAGGTTGAAGATTACCAATATATAAAGTTCGTGTGGCTTTTACTGAATATTCATCTATATCAAGATTTGAATTTATTGAACGTTTCATTAAATCATTTTCTAAATATTAAAATTTCCAAAAAGAAAATTCTTATTTGTTGTTTAATATTTACCATTTATTAAATTATTATATGGTTCAGCTTGTAATCTAATACCATGAATAGATTTTGTTATTATAAATAATAATGCTTTATCAACATCTTCAGATCTTTTAAATGTTAATAAAGCATCGTCATCAATTATTTTTATACTTAGTAAATGAGAAGATTTTTTAAAATTAGCAAATATATGTCGAAGTTTTTTACGTAATGATTCAGCTAAAATAAATAGACAAATAAAATAAAATTTAAAAAACAAATAAATATACATGATATTTTTGATGGTAATGGATAAACTTTTAATATTTTCGTTTTGATATGATTTAAATTTGTCGATTGTCGTTTTAGTTTCGACGTATATTGACGATGATATTTATTGAATAAACTAAAAAATTGATATATATATATATATTCTTTTTCTATTTTAGATAATGTTCCTTTGTCTAATTATACCTATCGTTACGTGATCTTTCAGATTCAGATGAAGAAGAAGAGGAAGAATTTTCATGCTTGTCTCGTGCAGATTTCATTTCTGTTTTTCTAATAAATAATATAAATTTAATTAAATAAAAACATTCTTTTTTTTCTATTACTTAGAACAATTTATCGATGATGTTTTTTGTTTACTTTTTGATGAATCTGAATCATATTTGATACGTACAAGATGATGTCTATGAAATAAAGCAAAATAATTATAAAGATTTATCTTTTTTGTTTCTTTTAAGTAATAAATTAGCAAATTGATTCATTTAAATATGCAAATTTAATTTCAAGATAAATAATAAATTACTAGCGAGAGAAGGTTTCCAAGTATGATGTGTCGATTAAGTCAATATTTTCTCTGCAAGTATGTCTGAAGAAGATTCGAAGAAGTGTAAAAGGATTCGTCTCTTTATGCTCTGCTTGTCAAGTTCAAACATTTTCTTGTATTATATCTGCCTCAAACAAAACATATATAAAAACTCCCAATGATGAAATCGAAACCTGAATTTTGTGCGCGAATAGATTCTATGGTCATTAGAATGTCTTCGTCTTGAGGCATTGGATAATCAAAAAACCGATATGTGCTACAAGGAAAGTTCAGGACATTAGTGCCTTCAACATGTAATATGTGAAGAAGAAAACCTTCTAATGATCATAGAATTTATTTATGCACAAAATTTCAAATCAAAATTTTATAATTGGGTGTTTTTATAAATGTTTTGCCTAAGGCAGAAAGTACAGAACAACAGTCGAGCTTGAGAAGAAGAGCTGATGGGGACGAATTCTTATACATTTTCTTCTGGTCTTATTGAGACTTGTGAGTGAAATATCGATTTAATCGATGCATCACACATGGAGCCCTTCCTTCTTAAGTCCAAGTAAGTATTCAATAGAACAGAAATACTGAAGGACAAAACAACTCATTACATTGACATATTCCATAGGCTCGTTAGACATCTGTTGTTGTTAAATGTTCCAGAAGAGAACGTAAACAACGTCATAGATCATATTTCAAATGCAATCCAGTTCTGACACAAGCAATGATGAGATGTTTATTAAATGTTATTTCGTTGAAGTGATATATTAAGAATGTTTGTTTTTAAAGATGTAATCTTAAATTGAATAATATTTCTATTATATTTCAAAGCTATTGTCATTTTTGATAAGAGGACTTTGTTAGATAATCAATGACTTGCATCTTATGCTTTTCTCTACTCAAAATTTTACCAAATTAGACATTTAAGAGAATTGATCTTCTTTTTGTTATCTGAAGTTTCTTAATATCTCTAATATGAGATTCGAAAAGTATTAAATTGCGCAAAAATAACTCATGAATATAAATCTTTTTTGCTTTAGATTACATATATGAAGAATATGAGTTGATTATCTACAGTACATAATAATACACTGTCATCAGAAATAATGAGGAGCTCCATATTTTCCATGAAGAAGACAACATTCTAATTTTGCTAGGTTCTTTTTTCAAACTATCATGCTTTTCTTTTAAAAAATAAGTCGAAAATAATCTCTTAGTAATATACTATAATGAAATTGAACAAACAAATTAGTTTTTTTTATTAAAATCTAATATTGTTTGTGTCTATCTTTAATAACAATTCATCACTAAGGTAGAAAATGAATGAAAAATACACCAACCGAGTATTTTCCTCCAGACTATTAGTAGAACATAATGAATATTTATCTTGATCGTTATGTATCGCTGTTATTGTTTTATCCATCAATTTATTAGTCACTGTTTTTATACTGCAAGGCAATGATGAAAATGGTTCAATAATTGAGGAAGATACTTCTATACGCATTTTAGAAGTTGAATTTGAACTATCATGAAATTTTGTTTGTAATTGTATTTTATCCAGAATATTTTCTGCATGATGTGCTTTTGATGCAGAACATATGTCCGAAAAGGTAACAAAAGCAACACATTGATCGTTAATTTTAACTGTTTGAACATGACCATGTCTAAATATATAGTAATAAATAAATTTTTTCATGGAATTTATTTATTTTTTTTCTACCGTTCAAAACATTCTTTAATAGTTTCTTCAGTAGCTGTCTCAGGTAAGTTAGATACAGTCAACCATCTTGATTCAATTGGTTTCGATGATAATACTACTACGTCAGTAGAAACTTCATTAGACATGCTGGGACTTGATTTAATATGTAATGATAAAAAATATGTAAAAATTAAAATAAATAAATCCAATATCAATAACAGAAAAAAAATATATCTTTCGAACTTTGTTTATGTCAAATTAATAGGGATATTCGTCATCATTGAAGAAAAATGACGACTCTATTGAACAATGTTGCTATTTCTAGCATAGGCATTGAACGAGAAATAAATAGGAAAGAGAAAGAAAAAAAAAAGTACCGAGTCACCTTACATTATATTTTCTTGGTTTTTTTAGTTCTTTTTCGCTTCTCTTCCTATTTCTGCTTACGTTTTATATGACGAAGCGTAAATAGCAGGCTTTAGAGTATAGTCGTCAATGACTGTATAGCTCGAGACAACGATTCATGATATAGTGTTGCAGAATTAATGATGATCATTGTATTTTCAGAAGATGATGCATATATAGTATAGTCTTATATATATATATAGTTAAACGCAAAATGATACACATCAGATTGTACTGATGATAGTCAATATAGCTATTATTTTGTGCATCCGATCTTTTGCGGTGTTGGAAACTAGCATTCAGTTCTTAGTAATCTTTTTGTTTATGACATTATTATCTAATCTTGATAAAGAAGCATAAAAGATCAGAATTGAAGATGAATGCGTTTACAGTTCGTCCACCGTTTAGGTTTCATTACTTTAATGATTTTCATACTCATGAATTTTGACAGCACTGTCGAATAGTATTAAATTGATGAAAAACCAAATCTTCATTATTAATGATTTAAATAGTGACAATACTTAGCTCTTGTTTTCTTATGTTTTAGCATAAGTTGCTTTTTTAATCATATCATATAGAAAAGAAGTTCTAATAGAACATTGATGGAAAGTAACTCTATTCAATTCAGAAGTGAAAAATTGATTATACTCTTCTTTTCTATTTTAGATTGATTGTAGAGTAAAATCATAAAACATATAGGATAGAAGTTGATGGCATAATGTCGAAAAATGTCGAAGATATTTTTCTCTTTCTACATAGTTTAATCTTTGTCTTTATGTGCATGTCTAAGACTTCACTTGCCATCTTTTTTTCATTATCTTTATAGAAAAAGAGCATAAAAATATCTAGGATTGCCTAAAAGCAATTAAAGACATTGATGAGATTCTTTTTGCTCATAATAGAAATAAAAGAAACAACAGAAAAAAAAAGTAAAATGAAAGAAAATACAATAAATAATAAAGTAATAAAGACGTCTCGTTTTATTATTTCTCCTTTGCAAGCAAATTTCTATCACATAGATAATAAAAAAAAAAGAAATGTATCACCAAATATTTAAATAAGAACCCCAAGAAGAAGAAGAATTTGAATTAGCACTATTAGTGACTTGTTGTGCATTAGGTTCACTGTTTGATGAAGTGTCTACAATAGATGTTGTTTGTTGTGCGACACGAACAAGATTAGCTTGCTCATCAGGACTTAGCTTAAGCATTGTAACAAGAACAGGTATTATTTGTAAACGTTCATGTGTAGTTTTTAATATAAAAAATTTTAAAATTATATTTTTTAAATATTCTAAATTTGATATTGATTCAGCACGATCCATATTACGTTCAATACGTCGTATTTCATCTTTAAGTAATGATACTTGTTCACTTAAACGTACATTATTTAATTCTGATTCATTAAGAAGTTCAGTTGTATTAAGTAAACGATATTTGGCTTTATTAAGTTCTTCTTCAATACGTTGACGTTCTAATTCAACATCTTCGAAAAGTATATGACGAGGTTTTTCCAAATTGGATGATGGCGATTGTGGAGTCTGAGTATTACCGAATAAAACGTTTTCTAAAGTTTTAACAGCAACATCAGGTGGTTGATAATCAATACTGGCTGATTCAGATCCCTTTGAAAACAAAAAACAAATAAATTATTATTCTGTTAAAATAAATACGAAAAGATTCAATTGAAAAAAACTGGCAAATAAAACAAGTTCTACGAGACACAATATTAGCAATGTCTGATAGAGACCGTCATACAATATGCAAGACCTGCAGGATAATCAAGTCACCTAATTGATCACGATACAATGGACTTCTAACTTAGTAGTGAAACGCGTGATGATTTTTCATTATTATCAATGGTAGCTAGAAGAGTACAAGTCATGCCAGTTATCAGTGCTTCGATAGATAGATTATTTAACTCAGCTAGATTGATGTTTACTCAAAGATGAATATATTTATGATCACATCAAATTGATAACATAATATTTATTTGTTCATATCAAGAATTCAAGAACAAGCAGTAAAAAGTAAACATATCATTCGTCTTTGTCATCTGTTTATACTGATTACATGGCGAAGCCTGCATCCTTATATTTTGTCTCTTATTCTTTTGTTCATCTTATGGATGTCAATATTTTTTTGTTCATTTTATTTCTTCTTGCAAAAACGTGTGATAAAGTTTATTAACATGACTATTGTAATTGATTTGTATATCAATAGTACTTCTATAATATTTGACATTGAATCTCATACTCATATAAGTTTTAACCTTGTAAAAAGTATAATGACAAGATTGTCCCTACAGAAGAGCGGTTTGTTCTATAAAATATGTCCTGCAGAAAGAAGTTTTTGATCTCCAGCCTTGAGTTCTGCAAAACAGGGTGACTGAGCAATAATATACTGCAGAATACAGCACAAGACGAAAAAAAAAATCGTCTCATGACTTTCCATGATACATTTTCTACTTTATACTTCTTTTCATATTTGAATTTTTCGTGCAATTCTAGATTTAGTCTGGCATAAAACTGTAACAGATACTACCTTATGTCATACAACTTTGCTCATTTTTGTATTGCGTAGATCATTAAGTAATTGCTTTATTAAGAAAACTCATAGATTTTCGTCGCATGATCTAATGACTTATGTTAGAAGAAATAAATGAATACTTAACAATCTTATAAGTTTTTGTTAATTATCATGTTATTTCGTATTTAAAAAAAAAATTATTCATAAGAGATTAATGGAGTTGAAATAGATGCAGTTTTATTCTAAGAACTCATGTTATTCTACTCTTTTATGAATGGCTGTGTAATAAGGGTCTCATTCAATTATTTAATTTCTAAAATAAATTTGTTCGTTTAATGATAATTTTGATTGTTTAATTACTCGAATCTCATTGAAGTCAAACTGTTGTTCATCATTTCTAGCATGCAATACAAAAGTAACTATTGAAATTTCGATCTATGGTTCTCCACTCAAAAACATCGGAGAGAGTTCATTTATTTTCTGGTTGAAAGAGAATAAGCTGAACTTTGAAAAAGAACATAGGGAACAATTTGTTTTTGAATTAATTTTGAACAAGAAAAAGACTTGGTATCGAACGTTATCAAAAAAGTTGTGGCAACTTCTATTCATTTTAAATGTATCTCTCGTATCAAATATTTCTTTTGATATATAACAGATTATGTTTGAATTTATATAATTAAATAAACTAGAACTGTTTTTATCATTCGTTCAGATGGGCTATGACAAAATATGTTTTAATTCACATTAAAATGGAAGCTTTACAAGTTTTTGATTAATTTCAAAAAATAACTCATCTAAATTAAGCAATAGTTTTCAGATACAGAACGAACTTTCCTTCTTTTTCTATAAGATATTTTCTAAAACAACAACGAATTCTCAATAAATTCAAATCAATCAGCTGTAACCTTTAATAAAATGTTTAAGCTCTGAATAAAGAATTTTTCTCCATGTTCTATGTTTTTTTTCATATAGAATGCTATTTGCTATCAAAACTACGACGTATAATATGCTTTATTTATTGTTAAAGAATTATTGAGAGAATTTCTAAAATATGAAAGTCGATAAAGTTTTGTAAAGACCATATTCTCATCTATTTGGTTTTTAAGAAAAACTTTTTCTTCAGATTTAAGAAAAATATAAAGAAAAAAAATATGTTACAAGAGCTTTTTTAACGACATTCGATATATCAGACTTTGTTCTCACTCAAAGTTCATGCCAAAATTAAACGAAGAATTATTGTTCGAGATATTAGCAATTACTTTTGCATTGTCGATTATTATGATAAACAATCAAATAGTATTGTAGAACAATGTGATAGAAAATAGTTTAATTACTTCGCCTTGTTGACGTTCTGAAAAAGTCCATGAAATTTCATCTTTATTAATATCATTATTTAATATTATTTGAGAAGATTCTTTGTCATTATCAACATTTGTTTGTCGTAATAATTCAATACGATTTTTAAATTGTTCAATTTCTTGTTTTGATGCTTGTAATTGATTTTGTAAAATTGATATTGAACGTTCATGATCAGCTTCAATGGCAGCTATTTGTTCCTTGAATAAAACAATGATATAATTTATATGTTAGAAAATAAATTAGATATTACCTTAAATGTTTTCGAAAGTGTTTCATTTTGAAGTGTAACACTTTTCATCATATCATGACTATCATTCGTTCGTTTTAAACATTCATTTTCCATCTTCTCAAGTTCCATTTGATGCTTTAAAAAAAAAAATAACAAAAAAACAAAACTTTATGATTAGATAAAACAAGATTTTTAAACTTGTTTTCGAAGATCTTGTTCACGTTTTCTTGATTCATTAATTATTTTAGTTTGTACTTCATTCATACGATCTTGTTCTTTTTGTAATATTTCATTTTCAGATTTTAATAATTGAATTTTATTACTAAATATATTCATTTAGAATTTAATAAAGATAAGAAGATATTTTCTCTACTTTGCTTCTCGAAGAGCTGTTTTTAATTTTTCAATCGTTTCTTCTAGTTCAGCTTGTTTATCAGCTACTGGTGGTATACGTTCACGTTGAGTCGATTGTTGTTTAAGAACACTTTGTGCTCGTATCTTGATTAATGAACAAGAAAAAAACAACATAAAAGAATAATTTCAATTACAGTAGGAACTCACAAAAATACAATTGTATTATTTTACAAAATTGTCAACAAATTCTATACAATACTTAAGAAATGTAAACGAAAAATCTAACGATTATTAACCTTTACATCTTTGTTGGGAATACATGATAAAATAAAATATTAGTTATTCTTTTCGTACTAGAATATTCATATCTTTCTATTTTAATAACATAGTTCTTAAGTAATTAGTTTTCATTAATAGAATGCAACAATAATGATAAATTTGTCCGTTAGTCATATATTGTGATATTAAATATGTATGTCACTATGAAGACAAAAACTAGATAAAACATTCATAGCTATCTGTGAAAGATTAAAGATTTCTAAAATGAATTAACTTCAAAGTGATAGGAATGGGATAGACGTTAAAATATGACTTTTTTAAAGGCAAATCCTTATTATCTCAGTTACAAATGCTCAAGTTAGAGCTTTTTTCTGTCTATGTCAACTCTCATCATTATTTGTCAACAATGATGTTAAATATCAATAAAAGAAAACGAATACTCCTATCATGAAAATCGATCTGATTTTGAGTTCATCCATAAAAGATAAGCAGAGGAGAGGATTAGTCAAACATTACTAAACATCCAGAAATTTATTATGAATATTTCCTTGTTTTTTTCACAATCTTCCATGAAAATTTCAAGCTGAGTTTGTTTTGAAGTACATTTTTATATACAACATGAACTGAATGTGAATCAGTTGCATATGAATACAATGTTGAAATAATTAAAGACTATCCTACGCGAGTAGATAGTAAGTTCGTCGAGTAGTCATAGAAATGTTTTTATATTTTCGGATAGCATTGATATTGAACTTCATTTTTTTGTTTTTACTATTTTCTGCTCAATGAAATATAATATATACTTTAAAAACAAAAGCTTTTTAATAGGTTAGTAGGTGTTTGTTTCTTGTTTATGAAGTATACATTTTTTCATTTCTATTTTTAATATAGTTATTTAATACAAAGCTTGTTAGTGGAGCTCCTTTGAGACTGAAATATGGAACTCCTATGGCTTATTTAGCGTCATTATACCAACAGAAAATACAACAAATGATGAATCTTTCCAAGATCATACTAGTAATTTAAATTGCAAGGAAGGTTTTGGAATGTTCGAGAGCCTTCAAAGCTTTATTATTAATATCATTCAACACATTTAATCCTAGTTACTGTATTATTTTCTTTGAAAATATACGAAAATTCCAGAAAAAGAAGCAGTATATTAGAATAAGCATGCCTTTTCTGTAAGTCGTCTTTTTTTGTTATGATGGACGTCCAGAGTGGAAAAGGATTTAATGATACTGAACAAATCTGGACACAGGGACGACGAGTGTGAAAATATCCGACTTTCACCTAAACGTCTTTGGTACATGACTTCTTATTGATGTTCATCGTTCAATCAAATATGAATTAGTTATAAACATTCAAATCATAAGTTAGTCAATAGAATCGACTAAAGCTAGACACATATTTAACATACCAGATCTTACTATTTTTCTCTCGAATAGTTTATAGAACCTTATGATCTTAATTAAGATATGGTTGTTCGCGTTTTAGACTTACTTTATAATTATTAAAATCATCTTGAAGTGTTTCTCTTAAAAATAAATAAAATTATGAAAATGTTTCTATATAGAAAAAAAAGAAACAGCTAACTTGTCCTGTTTAGCTATATCCAACTCGTGTTTTGCAATATGTAAATTTTGTTCAAGTAAATTAATTGTTTTCTGATTTGTTTCACTTTGATTATTTAATCGTTCTAAAAGAAAAATGAAAACTATAAAATTTAATAAAAAAATCAATTCAAATATTTTACCAACTAATTGTTGTTTTTCCGAAAGTAATTGACTAATAATTACTTTATTATTATCTAATTCAATTTGTAATTTATCAAATAATGTTCGTAGATTATCATCATTTTGATATCTTTGTTGTTCAAGATCTTTAGCATTTTGTAGATCTCTTTTAGTTGTATCTAATAATGTTTTAAGTTTATCAGCACGTTCTTCAGTTTGTAATTTTAATTGTTCTAAATTTTCCATTTCTTGTTTAAGAGAAAGATTTTTTTCATTAATACTTGTTAATTCATCACGTAAATCTTGAATTTCTTTATCTTTATGTGTTAAATTATCTTTTAATGTTTTAATTGTTTTTTCATAATCAGCTAATTCAAGATCGATTAAACTTTGTTTTGGTTGTTGAGATTTTTCTTGTAATTCTTTTTTAAGACGTGATAATAAAAGTTTCATTTTTTGTTGTTTTTCTTGATGATCCTAGAAAAAGAAATTAATTCAATAATATTAATTGTAAAATAGAAAAACTTATGACGAACTTGAATTAGTGCATTGGATTGAATTATTTGATTTTCGAGTTTCTGATTTAATTCATTAATAGTTTGATTCAATGTTTCATTTTCTTTTTGAAAATTTTCTAATTCAGATCGAAGATTATTTATTTGAATTTGTTCATTTTCAAGAATTAATTTTTTTCCTTCAGTTGATTCTAATTGATGATTTTTGAGTTCATTTTTTGTAGTTTGTAAGTCTTGTTTAAGATTTTCAATCGTCTAAAAAAAAACAAATTTTAAATTCTCTATTTTTTGCTTTGTTTTTCTTTTTTATGGATGTAGTCTATATAACATGTTAAATGGCGCTTAAAACTTGGTATCAAAATGAATAATAGATTTGTTTTTCTTAGTCTTAGTGCTATAATTTTTGTTGTAATAAAGTCAAAGAGAATTAAAACTCCTACAATTTGTATTGATACAAATGAAAGTTAATTACTAGTTACCTCCTATAGAATATCTTTCTATGAGAAAATTCTGTTCTATGATGAGAAATGATAGCAAAACTAAGAAATAAGAATCTATGTCTGTAAAGATGAGTCTTGTCAATATAACATCTGCTATTTAAATGTTTACCAAGTTCTTCTCAGCGAAAAAGAATCATCAAAATTTGAAAATCACCAAACTTAGATGAGTAAGATTCAGTGAAACTGAGAAAATTTTAAATTTATTTGGATTCATGCATTACCCAACCAGACCTGTGATCGTTTTGGTCAGTTTTTTATCTCTGAGTCAACTATTCATGGAATACACAACTCTGAGATTTTCGTATGAAGTTTCGTCCATAAATAATTCTCACACACATTAGAATATTATAAATATCTCAGCTCCAATGAACAGATTTTTCTTGAGATATTGAGTGTCTAACGCATATTTAAATATTACAAAGCAAGTGCTACAATCCAATTGTCTCCAACATTTGATATCTCTGAAATAATGCACTCATTTAAGTTGAAACTTCCAGGATATTCTAATGATTATGAAACCCTATCTATGAACAAGTTTTCATATGAAAACCTCTTAATTGAGTTTTCCATAAAAAGCTCGCTCATAAGACCAAGAACCTACTAAAATAATTGTATAGTCAAAATTTGAGTGTCAAACAATGTTCGATGATTGAATATGTATCGTCGTGAGTCAAAAGATAAGTTAAGCATGATTATACAAAAATAGTTTCTTTTAATCTTGAATGAATATATTTTTTGTTAACCGATAGTTTCCTAAATAACTTCGATTGAATCACAGTTTTAATTACCCATAGAAATTAGATGGAAGAAAGTTACACAAAAAAAAGCAATATTAAGTGACATTGTAAATAAGCTTAAGTTATTGATAGAATACTTTTAATTTTTCTGAACTTATCTAAACAGTTATTCAACAACATACTTTTTGTAGATTATTTTCCATTTGAATTTTTTCTTGATGACTGTCTTCTTTAATCTTTTTTATCATTTGATCAGAATTTAATCTGTTGTCGTCTAGATCTTGTTTTAAATTATTAATAATCTATTTAAAAGATAAATCATTTATGAAAAATGAAAACAAAATCTTTTGTTTTACTTGTAAATATTCAGATTTTTCTATTTCGAAATTTTGTATTTTTTCCGTAAGTAAATTAATATCATTCATAAATTTAGTTTTTTCATCTTTTATTTGATCAAATTTTATTTTTAAACTTTGATATTCATTATTTATTGTTTGTAATTGTTTATCTAAATCATCGGCTTGTTTAGTTTTTTCAAAAAATAATTGATTATTCTCTTTTAAATCATTTTCTAATTGTTGATTGATAGTTTTTAATTTTTTATTTTCATTTCTTTCTGTTTCAAGTAAATCACTTAATTGTTGTGTTTGTTTTAATGATGATGAATAACGTTCATCATGAATATGATTTTTATTATCAAATTTTTCTTGTTGTTGTTTTATTTCATTTTGAAGATTAACTATTTCAATTTGATATTTTTCTTGTTGATCTTGTAATTGAAGATTTGTTCTATTGAAATTTTCTTTTAATAAATCATATTCAGATTTGATTTGTTCGAGATGAACATATTTTTGTTGAAGCTCTTTATATAATGATTCAAGTTGATCAAATTTCGTTTTATCTAATAGAGAAACAAAACAATATGATGAAAGTTAAAGAAAATAGGTGATAAAGACAAACCGATAGTTTCTTGATTAATAATATTTTGTAATTGATTTGTTTTCTCACATTTTTCTGCATATTGTTCTTTTAATTGTTCAAAAGAACGAAGACTGTCTTCGAAATTAGCAATTTCACAGCGTTGTTCTTCATTCTCTTTTGATAATTGATCAAGTTGAAAACGTACTTGTGTAAGTTCATGTTCGATTTGTTCGGGAACAAATTTGAAATCATTTAATTCTAATCGAATGTATGGATTTGTGCTCTAGAAAAAAATTGTATGGCATTATACGATATTTTCAACAATATTACAGTGTTTTTTTTTTGAAAAACAGTTTTCGAAGAATTTTGAAATTTATCTCTGAATACTTCAAGTTTTCCGAAAACCCAGACTGTACTATATCAAGACTAACTAGTTTTTGATGTTTAAGAAACAAATGCCATAACGAAGAAACATATTCAACTGTCGAATGCTGTTCGACTTCACATTATGGCTACAAATAAGTTTCGGTGAAACTAAGCAGAACTTGAAAAGATTTGGACTCATAGCCTACTATAGAAGAGTTCTAACTGTTTTAATGAAACTTTCACTGGAAGGAAGATATTTTTGAAAAATTCAAAATTAAGAGCTTCGAGCTGAAATTATGTGTATAGAAATTTTTCACAATCATCAGACAGTTCTGAAAAATTTCAACAAAGCAAACATGTGTTTTGCAAAATATTCAATAGTTAAAAACATAGTGGTCTATCGTAGGAGAAAAAGGTACGCGAGTCTACTTGGAAATTAAATACTTTGAGAAAGACATAATCATCTTTGTTGAAACTTTCAGAACAATCTAATAACTATCAAATTTATCTATAGACATAATTTCAGCTTGCAACTCTCTGCTTCAAATTTTTTGACAAAGACTTGTTTTCAGTAAAAAATTCATTCAAATGGCCATAACTCTTGAACACAGATCCTTTTAAACTTTTCTTAAACTAACCAAGACCTACTCTTAGTCTCAATGCAAAGTCGAACGGCGCTCGACAGTGCAATGTGTTTCTTCGTAAGCGAATGATTATGTAACAGTAGAATAGAAGAGCCTCTCATTAGAAAATCCTTGTTAATACAAAAATAAATAGTATTCAGTTCACAAACAACCTTTTCTCGCCTAATTTTAAATTTAAAAAAAGCCCTATAAAATATGCTTTGTCGATTCCTGTAAAGTTACATTTATTGACTTGTCTTTTAAATATGAAGTTCCACAAGACAAATTTGACGAATGTTAATCAAGTATTACCAGCATTAGACACTAATAGGAATCTTTATGATTTGGTCCTCTTTTTTTCCTTTCTATCCATGAAATTAATAGAAAATTATTTTAACTTTCTGAATTTTCTTTTGCTCTCAATGTATTTATTGAACTTCTACCTGATCAATGGGTTTTGCCAGACGAAGTTCCCAATCATTTGAATCATTTGATTGATTCATCCATGAATGAAGATATTGAAAAAGTGTATCTAATCCAGGATGATCTTGTCGATGAATTAATAATCGACATTGTTCATAATTATCATTTTGAGTAATTGAAAGAAGTTCCTTATTTATTGATGAATTATTTAATATATTATCATTTTGTAAAACTTCACATCTTTCAATTAATAATGAACATAAACGAAGAAGACTTTCAAGATTTAATTGATTAGAAAACTCTTCACTTTTATAGTTTGTTATTCTCATTGATTGAAGTAATGTTGGAATATCTGATAATATCTTTGATATATGTTGTGCTTCTTCGTCAGTACGATTAAGAAAAGAAGCGATATGTTGAGAAATAATTTCATCAAAATTTTCATTTGATTGATGCATTGGAGTTTCTAATAATCGTTGTTGAGTTTTCTTTAATTCAGTATTTTCTATTTCAAAAGTTTCTATTTTTTTCCGGTAATTATTCATTTCTTCTTCCATTATTTGCTTATCCTTATCAAATATACTCTGTTTTGATCTTAAACCATTGAGTTCTCCTTCCATCAACTGTTTCTCGTTGTCATATGTACTTAATTTGGATCTTAAGTTGTTGAATTCTTCTTCTAGTAATTGTTTATCGTTATCACATGTACTTAATTTTGATCGTAAGTTGTTGAGTTCCTCTTCCATTAATTGTTTATCTCTATCGAATGAACTGGTCTTTAATCGTAAATCATTAAGTTCTTCTTCCATTAACTGTTTATCTTTCTTAAATGTGCTCAGTTGAGATCTTAAGTTATTGAGTTCTTCTTCCATAATCTGTCTATCGTTATCATATGAACTGGGTTTTGATCTTAAGTAATTGAGTTCTTCTTCCATTAATTGTTTATCATTATCAAATGAACAGGATTTTGATCTTAGAGCATTGATTTCTTCTTCCATCAACTTTTTATCGTTATTAAATGTGTTCAATTTAGTTCTTAATTCATTGAGTTCTTCTTCCATAATTTGTTTATCTTTATCATATGAACTTCTTTCTGATTTTAAATTATTGAATTCTTCTTCTATCAGTTGTTTATCTTTATCAAGTATACTTAATTTTGATCTTAAATTATTGAGTTCCTCTTCCATTGATTGTTTATCCTTGTCAAACGAACTGCATTTTAATCTGAGATCGTTCCGTTCCTCTTCCATTGATTGTTTATCCTTATCAAATGAACTGCATTTTAATCTGAGATCGTTCAGTTCGTCTTCCATTGATTGTTTGTCCTTGTCAAACGAACTGCATTTTAATCTGAGATCGTTCAGTTTCTCTTCCATTGATTGTTTATCCTTATCAAATGAACTGCATTTTAATCTGAGATCATTCAGTTCGTCTTCCATTGATTGCTTATCCTTATCAAACGAACTGCATTTTAATCTGAGATCATTCAGTTCCTCTTCCATTGATTGTTTATCCGTATCAAATGAACTGCATTTTAATCTGAGATCGTTCAGTTCTTCTTCCAATAGTTGTTTATCTTTATCAAATGTACTCGATTTTGATCTTAAGTGGTTGAGATCTTCTAATAATTGTTTATCGTTGTCAAATGAACTTGATTTAGATCTTAACTCATTGAGTTCGTCTTCCATCAACTGTTTATCTTTATTAAATGTGCTCAAATTAGATCTTAAATTATTGAGCTCTTCTTCCATTAATTGTTTTTCTTTATCGGATTTTAATCTTAGTTCATTTAATTCTTCACTTAACAATTTATCATTATCAGATGTACTTAATTGAGATCTTAAGTTATTGAGTTCTTCTTCCATTAATTGTTTATCTTTATCAAATGAACTAAATTTTAATCTTAAATCATGGATTTCCAATTCTAAACTTTCAATAGACTGTTTTAGATGAATTTTCTCTTGTTCAACTGAATGTTGTTCATTTAGAAGGTTTTCAACCGTATTTTGAGTTTCAGTTAATTTATTGATTAAATCTTGCACAGCATTAGTTGAGGATGAACGAAGATTTGAAAGTTCATTTTGAAGATTCTAAATTATAAATAACATATATATATATATATGCAAATGTGGATCAAGAATAAAATGTTTGTAGTTACCGATACTTCATCTTGAAGATTTTTACATGATGATTTCAATGATTCATTTTGTAACTGTAAACATTCTGATGATTCACGTGATATCTGTAAAACAAAATGAAGTATAACAGAAAAACTTATGAAATGATCTTACATTAAGTTCTTGTCGAAGTTTTGATTCATTGATTTTATATTGATCAAGATCGATGATTAAGTTTTTCGTTTTTAATTGTTCATCTTCGAATTCATTACGAAGTTGCTAAAAAAACAATGATAGTGAATGAAAAATTGTTTTTTTTTTTTTGAAAATTGTATAAAAACCTCTTCAGTTTGACATAAACTTATATTAGAAGTTTGTAAATCACTTATTTTAGATTCAAGTTTTTTCTTTAATAAAATTTGACTTTTAACTAATTTTATTAATTCATCTTGTGACATTGATTCAAGCTAAAATATTTCAAAATAAATACTTTTTTTCTATAGAATATATTTTTGACAAGACAAACCTTGTTACTTGATGTTGTTTTTTCATCACCTGTAGGTTTTCCATCGTCACTCATCATCGATTTTCTATTTGTTTTCTTTCTTATATAAAATTAATAGAAACCTAATAATAAAGAATCTTTTCCATAGTTCATCTAAAAAAACAAAGTGCAACTAAATAGTGATTGATCTATACACAACACTAAGAGCGATATTTCTCTCGTGGTATTTACTTTTTTCATACGTATAACAACAAAAAAGAAATATCTGTTCTTGATATCAGAAAATATGAACAAACATATAATGTTAAAAAGAATAATGTGTCAGATATACAAATGCGAGTTTATCTAGGTTACAAATACATTTCTTATGTAAAACAAATGAAATTCTTTTCAATGTTTCATCCATCAACTTCTACTTTTCGATGAAAAAAATATCTTTTCTCTTTGTTTTGTATATCATATCAGCTGACAACTATTCTCACTTTCATATCAATGTTTCAATAAAAATGCATGCTAAAAAAAAGCACCAAAATACTCAGTTATTTTTATCGATTTGTTCGGGAATAAAATATAAACAGTTACAAAAAGTGAAAGGAAAAATATTTATCACATTATAATCAGTAAAACAACTTTACTCTACATTGCCATCTTGACTAGAACCTAATGATTCAGAACAATTTTCATCATTCTCTTCATCAAGTGAAGTTACATCAATACAACGGCCAACTTTAATAAATTCTAAACCCTAAAAAGAAGTTTTGTTTTTAGTTAATCTTTTTATTGTCTTTTCTCTTTTGTTTTTTGAATCTTACTTTCCAATGTTTCGGTTTATCAACTAATGGATTTTCTCTTAGATCAACTTTTGTCATATTTGAAAACATTAATAATGTATCATCATCTATTTCGGCAATAGCATTTCGTTGTAAACAAACAATATTTAATGATGAAATTTTTCCAATGACAGATGGAATATGAATAAAATGATTTCCATTTAAATTAAGATATGATAAATTTAGACAATCTTGTAAACAATCTGGTAAGTCATTTAATTCATTATCTTCAAGACTTAACCAATGAAGTTCTATTAAATGTCCTATATCGGTTGGTAATCGTCGCAAATGATTTGATTTTAGTGATAATTTTTCTAATTGATTTAAATTATTAAATATATTTAATGGTATATCATATAAATTTATATTTGTTAACCATAATTCATGAAGATTTTTTAATTGACCTAATTGTAATGATATTTGACCAAGTGGATTATGACTAAGATTTAAACGTGTTAATGATGTTAAATTCCATAGTGTATCTGGTAAAATTGTTAGTTGATTGTGTTCTAATGAAAGAGTTTCTAAATTGATCAATGATGATAATTGTTCCGTAGGCGGAATAATAAGTTCATTATTATTTAAATAGAGATTCTGAAGAAATGAACATAAACTAACAGACAATGGTACAGCACGTAACGAACGATTACTTAAATTTAAACTTGTTTCTTTTATATCGATTATATGTTGAATATATTTTTCAATATTTTCGTCATCCATTCTTTTTGTTTTAATTGAAATATCAGATCTAGAAATATAATTTATTTTATTATATGAAATCTTTTAGATGATAGTAAATAAAGAGAAAATAAATGACTGCAAGATCTGTCAGACAGAATAAATGTTACGAAAAATTTTAAGATTCTATTTGATAGCAATGATTGTGGTGAAAATATTTTGAAGAAAACAATCGATTTTATTCAAACAATTTGAAGGTTCTGAAAATGCAACGATACACGATATAAGTAAGCAAAGAGTAAAAAATGGATTTTTACAATACGCAAATTATAAAAAAAGAAACACAAATAAAGATGGCGACACATACTTTTTAATGTTCAATATATCAATAAAAACAAAAAAAAGTATAATGGAAGAGAAACATGATATTCATAATTTTTTATGAACACTTTGATAAATTTCTGTAATATAAAAAATGATTGAATTTATTCTTGTTATTTACA